TGTTAAAAAACAAGAATGGTTAGAAGTAGATATAGAAAAAAACAATGTCTTGTATTTCAACTCACTGGGCAGCTGATGAAGGATGTGAGTGGAGGTGAGTAAAAGGATGGTAACAATTCTGGAAAGACAACTGTTTACAAAAAAATCATCAAAAATATTAATTGCAACAAGAAACAATTCTGACTACGACGCTGACATTAAAACAGCACGTTCTCAGAGACGCTGCACCACAAACCAGCAGGGCACATGAAAATGTTTCATATAGTGTTAAACTGTACGATGGCTGCACATGGTAATAGAGGTACAGAAAGCTACTCATTAAAATGTCTTCACAAATGAAAAACATCTCCGATCCCAAACGAAAGACCTTATTAATAAACGGGAATCATTTCGACAGCCAGCTTGTGTAAATTATGAACAGATTTTGTGCTGAAGTGCGTCGTCCATGTAACATCACAATGGGGGGAATTGCCGGTGCGATCATACACAAACAACTCATTGAGAAAACCCTTGCCCTGAGCAAAGAACACAGCAGTTGGTCTCCAATATGTGAATGACAAATGAATATCACTCAGTGGGTCAGATGGTGTAGACACACTCCATGCTCTGTGCTAATCAGGCCAACCTACAGACCTCACATAGCATCAGGACATCCTCCAGGGGGAAATTAGTACTTTCCACTTTACCAAGCCGGTATACTTTTCTCCCTGGGTGACTGCATTGTTTGTCTCAATAGCGTTTTCTTTATGTAAATTGTATTTTCTATTGCTTATCAACCAATTATAAGTAAAATGTTTAGTTTCGTACTGAATATGAAGGAGGGAGGGGTTGCTGTTCTGCACATTTCCCAGGGGAAAGCGGCTAAATGTTTACGGTTTCACAAACTAAAGTAGGAAAAGTATTCTGACCGGCTTTGTATTTTGCTGCAATGTGGCTTATAACCAAATTTATCAACCTTGCCTTAGAGTTTCTCAGTAAATTAAAATGTTCTTCTTTTTAATTTTTTTTAAAAAATTGTCTATTTGTTGCTAAGTTAATATTTCTTTCTAAAGATACTATACTAGTTTAAACAATTACAGCATTATAAAATAGAGAGCATTAACCTTTAGGTTCTGCCAACATGGAGGTCAATACCTGAACCACCAACGCCCAATTCTCAGAAAATGTTTTTCATGAGACCACCTGAACCACCAACGCCCTTTAATTCTCAGAAAATGTTTTTCATGAGACATAAACGTTGTTATTGTGAGTTCACTCTGGTTTCCTGTCAGCCAAGTGAAACACACAATTGTACATATTTGAGGCGGACACTGTTTGCATAAACTGAGACGGAACAACTGCAGTCCTATAGGTAAGAGCCTTTACACAGCGTTATATTGTTGTCTAGAATATAAAACTAAATGCAGGAAAATAAAGCTTTAAAAGGCAGCGGGTATAAAGAAAAGTAACACAGTCATTTACAGCACAAGTGCACTCAGGCCTTCTGTCAATTGATATTCCGTCGACTGGTCTCTCTGCTGTGGTTGTATATTTAATTACTCAGTCCTCCCACATGCAGTGCTTATTTCATTGTGTCTACTCCTTTTTTTTTGTTTGTTTGTTTGTTTGTTTTCTCCAAGGCTCTGCCATCGAGGTCCACATCATTTAATGCAGCTCTGCTTACTGCAGCTTCACCACCTCACTGTAATTAAAACTAAAAGCGTTGTGTTTCCTGACTTAAACAACGGAGCAACTTCACAAACTTACTCCTAACGGGAAACTTTAGGCCCAAAACAGAGGAGTCGGAGGATGTGAGGAACATCCAACAACCTCAGAAAGAGAAATTTAAAAATAAAAGATCAAATTAGTCAGTTTCAAATCTAACCCATGGGATATTATTTTAAGATTTTTTAAAAAGCTTTTTCTATTACTGAACATATTTGCAACAAAATTAGTTTTTAAAATTAAAAGGAAACCACATAAACCACATCATCATCATCCCTGACAACAAAATAAAATATTTCATATTTTAAAACATATATATATCTCCTGCTGTGTCACCAGTCTATAGAGCTAATTTTCCATTTAAAATTGGCTAAATCTGTGAGCCAGAACAATGCTAGCATTCTTTACATGAACAATTTGAATTGGGCTAAATGATGTAAAATTTATAAATAAAAAGAGAAATTATTTTGTTACTCACAAGTAAGTCTCCGAGACGAGATGATGCAAAACTAATTCCTGGTTGTTAATTTTTTTCATCCAGGCGCATCCTTAAGCAGAAAAAAACAGACAGAGTGTTAAATGATTAATACCATTATTTTCATTATTAATATTGTATTGTGCTGGTGAAATGAACCCTGCATCAAACCAACACTATTTGTTATGCGTTGACCTCTTACCTAGACGTGGGCTCTGTGAAGCTGCAGTGTTAAAATAGAGAACTTAAGCAGTCTCTAAAAAAAAACACAAAAAAACATGTGACATCATTTCACCACTAGGGGAAAAATACAGCATGGCTTGGGGACCCCGAAAGGCCAAACCAGTGTTTTTTTTTTTAATGATGGCAGTTATTATAAATATACAGCTAATCACAATTTATCATCAATTTACATTAAAAGTTACACACCGTGCTGCTGTGGTATGTTCCAGGGAGCTAATTATATTCTGGGGTTGAAGGGATGAAAAGAGTGGACAGTGCTTTAAAGATGTGCAGTGGTCAGTGTATCATGTCTTCATATCTCAACGTCACCATCTCCAAATGGTCCAGTGATCCACCAACCTGTCTCATTGATTTACAGCATGAACTCATTCTGCGGCCTGCAAATAATCTGGCGGCAGCATAGTGTGACGTGTGTTTGTGTGTTCACCGTCCTCGATGAACCACGATGCTCGGTTCAAATCATTTGGGCTCCCTTTAAACTCTAAGGGAAACTATTTTGTACGACCCAGCACGTATCCCCTCCGTTGTCTACCTTTATCACAAACACATACAGATACTGTAGTGTTGTGGACTTCTGTTCTCAGTCTGTGGAGTATTCAAACTGCCCGGCTCAGAGATTTAAAATGTCATTTAAAAGCCATTGAATTGCCGTTAAAGCTTGTTTTATTTGGCCAGTCTCAGACTACAAGGTCAGTTTGCACCAACAGCTAATAAGTGATCAATAGGAGATTTGAATTTAAAGAGCTGTGGCCCCCGGGGCAGTCAGTCGCTACTCCACGGTGTTACCATGGGAGGGGAAGCAAAGGGGGGGCTAAGCCCAAGGGCTCAACAGACCCCCTCCACTTCTCCTCCCTGAGCTTGGTTAACACTCAAGACCATGATTAATTCATGGTGGATTACAGTCTGAAGGCAAGAGAGGAGAAAACCAGGATGCCGTGCAGTCCGCGCCGCATGCAAAGTGTTCAGCAGATAAAGCTTCCTTCGGATTAATGCCACAGTCCGACTGTCCAACTCATTTCCCTACCAAAACAATTTTTTCCCCCTTCAGCCTACAAAAGATCACGTCTCAGAATTTGGCCTTCTTGCCCATTATTAATTTCATTATTATTATTATTACTATTACAATAATTTATATTTTCCCTGACCATGTTCACCACGTCTTTCCCAGATGCCAGTTTTAACAGACAGAACAGCAAAGTTACATGGAAAATGATGTGGCTGAGGCGCTAATAACAGCATAACAAGCAGCACAGCCCTGGTCACGGCAGCGTCACCATTGTCCTTCACACTTGGACAGCTAACTGCTTATGATTAGTTGAAGAGCATGGTAAAGAGAAAAGTGGGGTCTGCATAACTTGGGATTTCACTCCCCCTTGTGTTGTGCACTGTCACTAAACGCTTCCTCAGCTGGATACAAGAAAAAAAGTACTTCCTCAACTGGATTGAAAAAAAAAGATCAGTCATTTGTGATTATGAAATATTGGTAAGAAGTCAAATTCAATCCTTTGGTGTTATGGTGAGGTGGCATGTTACCTAATATAAAGTATTGAGGTGGTCTAGTAAAAAAATATGTTGATTTATGTATAGAAAATATATTATTATTTTAGCATCTTTTTTACATATTTTTTTCCCTTTTCTTAAGTTGTTGTAACATTCTGACATCTAAATGAACAAAGTCAGTCGTGCATGTGACGGAACAGTAGGCAATAAGATGAAGAAGTGGCATCACGATGCATTGATTGTCTTTGTTTTACACATTAAAGGCAGCTGCATTTTCCTTGCCGTCAATATCCAACTTCAAAATCACAAACCAGATCTCATCCTCTCAAATGTTGTGCACCTGCACATCATTTAGGTTCAGAAAAGTTTTTTTCTCTCTCTCTCTCTCCTCTTAAATTGTCTTTTCAATCACTCTCCCACAAACACAGCCTTTCACTTTCACTCAAAATTCCTCCAATCCCATTAATCAAAATTAAAAATGTTTACCTGTCACCAGGTCTGCAGCAGCCAATTATTTCTACCCTCCGCATAAATGAGGGAAAAGAAAAGACAGAAAAAAAAGCCTTCACTGTGAAAGCAGTGACAACAGGCCGACAGGCTGCTCTCACACACAACGCTGTGTGACCACTGCTGCTCTGAGAGAACGTGCTTCAGAAATGATCGTGAGCATATTTTCTAGTTTTATTAGAAACACATTTTGTCAACATGTTGTATTTATACAGTGAATGGTCTAATATGCACTGGAGGTCACATAAGCTTAGGTTTATTGGAACATTAAAAGACATATCATGAGGGCTCGATATTCAAAGAGATGTAGCAGCTGTGCAGCCGCATATTTGACCATCAATTTTTAATAGTTTGGATTTTTCTTCTTCGAAGACACAAAAATAAAACCTGTCTAAGTATGTTATATTAACAATTTTATGAATGTATCGTCAGCAGACTAAAAAAATTAAGAAGTCAATTACTCCTCAGAACACTTACATTTTGTCTCAACACATTCTGCAGATAATGGTGCAAAGCACTGTAACAGTGTTTGTGCTATTTTTTTTTTCAATTTGGCAAATGTCTACTTATGTTTTTTTTTTCCTTTTTATAACCATTTTTTGTAAACAACATCTTGTACAAACTAGCACAGTGAACCACAACCCCAGCAAACGTGTTTGTATCTCCATACAATATAAATGAAATCAATACAAAAGTTTGGTTTGTTGCTTGGAACATTTTATATGGATCGAGAGGTTCTAGAACACGGTTCTTCGAGACGTCTGGACTCCTGAATTAAATAGGTTTACGTAAACAGTTGACTGCTGTAAGTCCCATATTTAGAATCAGATTTTTTTTAGAAGGTAGACTTCATTTCAACATATCCAGTTCACTTCCATTTTTTAAATAAAGGGTTTGCCATCCGTAGAGGGTTTTACTGTTTGCCTTTTGAAGGCGGCCTTCTTCAGATTTGGTGAAAATTATGAAAGTGAGAAAGGAAAAAAAAATAGAAAGAAAGAAAGAAATAGTCCACACGCAGGGGAAAAAGTCATTTTCTCCAGCCTTCAAAAAGGTTGAGGGTCAATATGGCGGAGCCTTGAGAGGCGAGGAGGTCTAAGGAGCTGCTGAATAAATACACAGGACATGTCTAGTGCCTCCAACACAGTCTGAATGCCGCTCAGCTTTTTTACAGTGCCAGGTCAGCACACAACCAGCCCTCAGCTCCCTCCGTCTCCCTCTGTAAAGCTATTGAAGTCTTTGACAGTAGCTAGTGATGTTTTCATGTTCACAACATACTGTAAGAGATTTGCAAGGGACGTTTTCTACCCCCACCTTTGAGAGTAAGGCGGTTTGGTTGTTATGCTGGGGCCCCCTGACAAGCTGGGGTCACCGGGGCCCCCTCACCCCCCACACCTGGAAATGGAAAACGGGGCAGTTCAACAGTTTCACCTCTTATTATATATATATATTTTGTTGTCGTTGTTGCTTTTTTTTTGTAGTCCCAGTTTTGGATGTAAGGAGCGGGCAAAAGAAGCAGTTAAACACTCAAAACACAATACTGAAGACAATACTTTTGGAGCATAATTTTTATGCCAGATAAACTTTCCCACTAAGAAGACAAACCAATCATGTGGGAAAATAAATAAATAAATAACAAACACCCTTCCCCCCGCTCCCCTCCCCTCCACAAAATTAATAACAATAATAAAATAATGATTTAATGGAGTTGCCCCTAACCCTGTTGATATCCATGTCCCTGTTTATAATTCCAGGCCCCCATCACCGCCACCAAACCTCACCGTCCTCTGTCACTGAATCTCTTGCCAGTCAAAGTCCGCTCCCCCTGAAAACTACCACACAGTGCCCTCGTTCATTTCCGAGGGTGGGTGGGACAGGTGGTTGCTGTAGCCGCTGCCGTTCAGTGACAGTGAGGTAAAGGGCGGGTTGGGGCCGAACACCTCGGAGGAGATGCTGTGCAGGGGCCCCGGGATGCCGGGCTCCGGGCTGGGAGAGTCCCCCGGGTGGTGGGACATGATGTCAGAGAAACGTTGCACTTCACTGGAAGGGTGGTGGCCCGGCAGGGGGTGGTCCATACCTCCGAGGGGGGTGCCAGTGGGGCCTGAGGAGGGCACGAAGGGGAGATCAACTGGGGTCTGGGCCTGTGATGACGGAGGCCCCTGAGGAAAGAAGTCATAATTCCCTCCTGGGCCGTAGTACTCACTTTGATAATCTGTAGATCAAGAGGGGGGAAGAAAAAAGGGGGAGAGAGAGAGAGAAAGGGGGAAAAAAAGAGTCAACGTTGGCTCACAGAACAATGGCTGTGCAGAAATAATTGTAGAGAAGTTGAGGAATTTATTCAATATAGCTTGATTTGTATTAGTGAGGGAGAAAGCCCCTCGCCGTGCTACATTAGTCACAGAGTGCGTTACACTTAAATCAAAACTGCAATTGGGTGGGGAGAACAACGTGGCCACAAAATTAATTAAAGCGGGGACCATTTCATCAGCGGTTCTACCTACTGAGACGGACTTTTTTAAGTTCAGCGAAATATTATTAGACGTTTTGCTTCAGCAAAAAAGACAAAGGCCCGAGCACTAATGAAATTCTCTCAGACATTATCATATCTTCCACCAGCACTGGAAGGGAGCCTCGTAGTATCAAGTCACTCACATGTAAAGTCAGTGCATTCATATTTTTTTTATCTTCAATCAGTGGAGGAGTTGACACAGACAGAAGGGGGGGGGGATCTATTCTCTTTTTTCAGCTTTTTTTTAACTAATATTGAATGTTAAATAAACTACTAGTGTTTTTAAAGACATTCAAATTTTTTGGGCAATAAATTTACATAGAATTTATGTTAAATTGACTTTATTGGACAAACACAGGCATCTAAATGTAAATATTGTTTCCAGTATTTTTCCTCTAAAACGTAAAAATGTAAAAGAAATATTTTAATTCATAGAAGAGACAGCTAATGAAAGCATAAATAAAAGGGCTCAGGGTCAAGAAAAATATTGAGGTTTTTCCAAAAAAAAAAAAAATCTCCATATTTTTCAATTGTTGTTAAAATGCAAACAGATACGTATATACATATATATTTCCCATACCTCCATAGTAGGAGAAGGGCCCGTTGGGGAGCAGCTCCCCGGGCTCCAGCCGGTCCACCAGCGTCCTCATCCTTCTCGGGCTCCGGAAAAACGCGTGCCTCCGGGCGCCCAGCGCGCTCAGCTGTTTCATGCGTCTCTCTTTGGAACGTCGATTCTGGAACCAGACCTGGGCGCACACACAAGCAAATATACATTCATACATAACACATATTTGTCAGCTCAGCAAATACGTAGACAACTGACGCCATTTTGATTGCACGTCAATAGGTATTTTCCGCAGGGAGGTGTGAGGAGTGTGCATGATATGGATGATGGAGGAGGCTGAGAAAAAAACAAAACAAAACAAAACAAAATAACAACATGGATGAAAATGAAAATAAACCTCAGTTAAACAAAAATAAAAACACTATGAAAATATATGTTTAAAAATCATGTAATTTGAAGTCATACTGACTTTGGCTCCTGGCTGGAGTAAACAACAACAACAACGACGACGTCACCGCTCCATGTGCGTGATGAGCCGGTGCCTGAAACCCGCAACGTTGTGCGGTGACGATCGCGGCCAATTATCTTTCCAGGAGCCTGAGTCACGGCTAACCTCCTTAATGGTCTTTTAACCCTCCATTTACCCCGACTGGAGGCTGCAGCAGCGGGGGCTTCAAATCTCCAATTAATACTTAATAGCAGGGCTGTTACCGATGTATTAGCAGGCTCTTGGAGGTTATCATTTCCTAATCTATAGACCGGATTCCTTTAATTACGCTCGTCGCTGCCCCACTCATGCTCATACATATTAGATACAGTCTACCTGCGCTGTCGTCTCACCGCTATTAATCTGAGAGTCTAAACTATTTTAATCTCTAATCCAGCTGCTCGTTTTATCCACGTGATATGAACCAAAGACGTATTATTTAGAGTCGATTCAATTATGTTATAGAATAGAATGGTATAGAATAGGAAATGGGAGTAAAATAAAATATAAAAGCACGGTGAGAGTGTAAACTAAATTTAATTTACTATCTTAACTAAAGTTAAGATAGTAAGATAGTATTTGTTTTTTATACGAAAAAAGGATGATTACAGCAACAACACATAAGCTAATACACCCCTGGTGTATTAGCTTATTGATATAGAATAGAATAGAATAGAATAGAATATAGTTATCTGTGTCATTGAAAAATATATATAATATATATATATATAATTTTTAGGGTAACATAAAACGAATAAAAATGTTCAAAATAATGAATTTAAATAAAAAATTAGAATTTCTTATAGCATTTCTTTAATTGGAGAACAGTAATAAATATAGGTCAATTAAAGTTAAACTTAAATATATTGTAAAGGGCAGTATATATGTACATACATATTGTATGTATTTATATTATATATTTCTTCTGTTCTCGATAATAATAATAATAATAATAATAATAATAATAATAATAATAATAATAATAATAATGGCTGACGGTGGTGTTGATGATGATATCGGTGCCGGTGACAGTTGCCTCTCCTCGTGTTGCTCCTTGTTTAACTGAGCGCTGAGAGCTGCTGTAATTCAGCGGTGTGAGGAGACGGTGTGAGCAGCCTTGAAACAGATTTGTGCTCTGTTCCACTTGGCCGCCGCTGCTCACAGCGTGTCTCTAAATGTGCTCGCAAAACGTGATGGCGGAGATGCGCCAGGACTCCCGGCGCTGCCCAGCCCAGCTCTGACCAACCCAGTCCAGCCCAGCAGCCCGGCAACCCGGCCGCCAGTTGGCGTATTTTGCCTCATCCTGGCCGCGCAGCCAAGAATTGGAGGAGTAGAGGGAGGGGGAGGGAAAAAAAAGCCCCAATATAAATTAGCGCCATCTCCAAATCAACCCCATCGCTCAGGCCAAGCATTTTAGTTTTAACGGATCCAAATGTGACAGCGCGCTTTGGGAAGAGGAAGAGGAGGAGGAGGTGGAGGAGGAGGAGGAGGAAGCCGCCTTTAAAGAGGGGTGAAAGATGTGAGAGAGGGGAGGTGAGTGGTGGTGGTGGTGGGAGGGGGTGGAGCCTCTCACATGGCACGGAGCCCTGCGCGGTCAAAGCAGTCTGGCATCTTGGCAGGGACATTTCTTTTTCCAGAAAAAATATAAGCTGTTACATCACGCCTTTAATGGCTGTGTGACACCTTAAACAATAAATTAAAAAAAGAGAGGCGTGATCCCACCCCCGCCCCCCCTCAGTACCCCCACACCTGACTGGCCTGGGACTGGGTTTCCATCACACTTTGCCTCTAAATTTTCTGGTCATTTATATTAAAGCCGCAGTGGATGAAAAAAATAAAATAAATAAAAAAAGAAACATGGGAAATAAAGTTTGATTTGAGCATAAATGGTTTCATGGATATGTTCACATAAAAGTGGTTACAATTTACTATGCAAATTTTATGTAAACTGCAAAGCTTAATGTATGCAGAATATTTTAATATATATTTTGCTAAAAGGAATATATGTCGTATGCTAGTAGGGTTTTTTATACTTTGTAACACATTATATTGTGACGAAGAGTAAAAAAAACACGTTTTATTCTACGTGTAAATAAGTGGTAGTAGGGCACAGTAAAGTTTTTTTTATACTAAACTCATTACATTTTGTCATATTCTGATTTATTCTATGTTGCAAAATTATTATTATTTGGACCCCAGAAAATATCCTCTGCGTCCCACCTACGGTCGACGACCCAGCATTTGTGCACAAGTGGCTCGCATGCAGGGTCCCATGCTGACATGGTGCTCGTGCATTTACCTGGATGACCCTCATGTTGAGGCCGGTCTCCTGGGCCAGTTGCTCCCTGATGTGTCTGGTGGGCTTCGGTGTGGCCGCGAACGCCGCCTTCAGCGTCTCCAGCTGCTTGGCCTTGATGGTGGTCCTCGGGCCCCGCCGCTTCCCACCGAGGTTCTGGTCGTCGTTCTCGTTGTTCGTCGTTTCTTTGTCAGACAGCGCAGCGATCTCTGTCTCCTTCAGAACCACGTCGTCCTGGAGCTGGTCCTGAGAGTCCGGCGATAGGCTCGGGTCGCTGCACGCTGTTACTGCAGATATGAACAACCACGAAGGTGTAAATTATAGGACGAAAAAATAAATGCAACTAAAAGGCAAGAACACATTTTAATAAAAAATAAAAATAAAAACCCATTTAGTTTAACTCATAAAAAAATAAAATCAACATTTCTGCATTCATCTTATATGAAAGAATATTTTATAATCTGCATATTTATATATTTATGCGCCTTTCTCTTTCATTTAGCTGATGAGGAATTATGGCACATTATAGAAAATCTTATTCATCATATGTACTTCACACACCATTACCTCGTACGTGATCTAAGAGAATTTAGAAGAAGAAAAAAAAAATGACACCACAGCAGTCATTTCAGATGATGATGAACTGGACTTACAATTCATCTATATACATATATATGTACATATATACATATATATATACACACAGATGATGAAATGCACCAGGTAATTTCACTGCAACATGTTTCCCCATCATTTGTCTAAATTATTATATAATCCAGATAATAATTTCAGACAAAACAAGAAAAAAAATATTAATAGGAAATAAAATTTTAAAAATAAATAAATAAATAAATGGAGGCTTCAGAGATCAGCAGAATGATGTATTTGTTTTTCTGTTTGGGTTCTGCTCTCTGAGTGCGGTCTAAGTCCTGCTCATGGAAATGATGAAGCCACTGCGGGGTTGAACACATCACATCCATCACAATTTATTCCGCCCGGTGCTCAAGCACAAACACAACCAGACACGCGCATTAACACGAGCACAGATGCACAAAAAAAAACCCAAAAAACCAAAAACAAAACAGGACAAACACAGAATCGAACCGGCAGCGGCTGTTTAAAAAAAAAAACAAACAAAAAAAACGCAGCTGTCATTAAATATGTGTCCTTTACGTTGGAGTTGCTGATATAATCGTCTTTGCAGACGAATTTGTTCTCGTCGATGATGTAGAGCTCCTCTCCGGTGGAGAGCTGCCTATTGCACATCATGCAGGTGAAGCAGTTGAGGTGAAAGACTTTGCTGCGGGCCCTCCGCACCAAGTCACTGGGAGAGATGCCCTGTGAGCAGCCGCCACACTTTGTACCGAACCGCCTGTGAGGAGAGGAGGAGACAGACATGAGTGCGGTTATTATCACTGCTTATTTATGCTGTCATTAAATATTCACTTATCAAGCATTGAAAAAAAAAAACATTATATACTGATATTTAAAGTTATTTGGTGTATATATATATATATATATATAACAGATTTTGATTTTTAAAGTTTTTGTAATGCTATGGTTTTTAATTAGTTGTTAGCATGAATTTAAAATATTGCATTATAACATTTTGTATATATTTTAAAATTGTAAAATATTTCTAATATCACCTATAAGAAATTAATGAGTTTTGCCAGGAATATTTTAAGTATTATTTATATAATATATATTTTTTTATTTTTATCGTTATTATTGTTGTTCTTATAATAGAAAAAAGTACCCATTATTATTATTATCCTTTTTATAATATATTTTATAATAGCATATTATACAATTATTTTAATAAAATAACATTATAACAATTATCTAAATATTTTTCATTTTATATGTACATTTTTTGGATTTTCTCTAGTTATTATCCATAAAAATATAACTAAAATACAAAATAAAAACCTTTTTATAAACGACCATATCTAACAACATTTCCGTACTTTTTTAGAGACCCACGAACCAAAGTGTTACTTTTACTCCCCCCTCTTTTCCTTCCAGCTCTCGCCTCGAACAACTGCTCTTTAAAGCAGAGCTGGAATCCACTCGTGAAGTGGGCAGTAATTCAGCCAAGTCCGGCTTTGGAATAATAATAAATTCCAGCCGTGCACACACACACGCACACACAAACAATGTGTATTGAGTGACGTGCACCGCTGTTGACTGCACGTCTGTGATTGCATTGTCTGTGGACTTGATCTTTTCAACTAGTTTACTATTCAAATCCACTTATCACGTCCTCCTCAGCCGGACTGAGCAAACACACCGGGCAGCGGCTCCTCCGGCCGGGGGGTTTGATCCTGTGTGCGCTCCCCTCCACACCTCCCGTCAATAACACCCACCCGACCCCAGCCCTGGTTACCTACGAGCTGTTAGAAAACAGAAAGAGCCCAAACTGTGATTTCCTCGATTTCTTCCACACCCTCCTCCCCTCCTCCCCCGCTGAGAGCAGCGCACACGCTTTTAATGTTGCTCTCTTCTCTCTCCGTCTCTCTTTGTTGTGCTTGTTTTGCATAAGAATCCAAATTAACAAGCTTTTAATTAGTCGCTCTTAATCAAAGCTTATCGCCCTGCACGTCCCCGTTCACGCCTACAGGCGCGGACCGCGGTCTCTGCTCATTCATTTCGAGCAAAAGTAAATGAAATTAAGCGGAAAGTTCAACGTGAACACTGTGGGAGAGCGACACAGGTGTGGAGCGTGGATTAAAACCATCTGATATAAAGAAATATACATGAACATATATAAATACATATATAGACCAAAATATATGTATTTATACCGATATACATATTACTTTATAAAGTAATAAGTGTATTTTGGGGTTTGGAAAAAATAAAAAGCTATTTACATTTAGAGTTTAAAACGATGAACAAACGGTAAAGATATTTAGTAAATATAAGTTTTAGGTTTTAAGTCTTTTTTTACACATTTTCATAGTTTAGTTTTGGATTATCTAAACCCCGCAGCCACTGCCATCATAACACACACACACACAGCATGGATTCACCAACAGTGCAGTTCAGTTCCTGTCACCTTCTCCGGCCTTACCTAAAGAAATCATTCTTGCAGTACAGTCTTCCTTCCCGTGAGAAGCATTTCTCAGTTAAATTGCATTTGCACTCGCAGCACTGCACGCATTTGACGTGCCAGGCTCTGTCCAGCACGTTGAGCAGAAAGCGGTCCAGGATAGGCCTCTCGCAGCCGGCGCAGTGGACCATGGCTTTGGCTGGGCTACAAACCCCGGCAGATGAAGCGCGCACGCACAGTCTCTCTCTCTCACACACACGCACGCACACACACAAACCAAATCAACAGCCCAGGCCGAGCATTGACCGACTATCTGCTTTCTCCCTCTCCAAATCGCCTGGAGCTCCCGGGTCAATGTGCGCGGGGAAGTCAGTCGATCAGGTGTCACCACAGATTTCTCCCTGCATGCGTAAAAAGGCTCAAGCGTCCAAAAGGGGAGGGAAAAAAATAAAGAGGAAAAACAAACAGGGATGGATGGCAGGAGCAGCAGCAGCAGCAGCAACAACGTCCCCCTTCCTTCCTCTTTGAGAGCAAAGAAGCAAGAGAAATAAATAAATAGATAAATAAATAAATGGATAAATCAGTCCCTCGTTGTATCCGGGAAAAATAGAGTGGGAGATTCGCCAAGTGGAGCAAACAAAAAAAAAAAAAATACAAAAAATAAAATGATTCGAAGTCAAAAAGAACTGCAGACTGAGAGACCAGAGCCGCCGTGGATGTCCCAGCTCTCTTGGAAGTGATGCATCGGGCGAAGAAGAAGAGGAGCTTCGAGCGGTGCCAGTCACTGCTGGGTGAAGAGTCTAATGTAATTCTTCTTGGACGGAGCTGTCACACAACACAGAGACACGCGCGCCTGTAAATAATGCGGTGCCCTTTGACATGGCAGCGTATCCTCAGTCCAAACCCCGGTGAGAAACAAAGATCCCACAGCCCGAAGGATTGAAGCCACACAGGTGGACGAGTGTCTCCCCCCCCCTGAAGGTGTGCTGGACGATCCTGGACGTTGAAGCTGGAACTCGATGGCGCCTCCGGTGTAGTTGTCGTTGTTGATGCTGGGATGCCCACAGTCTCCACCTCCGTGCGTATATGCAGGGATGCGCTGGCTCTCCACTTACACTGTCTTGCTCCTAAAGCTCCAGCCCAGCCTTATTCCCAGCCTCCTGACGTCAGGTGGAAGCGCGACCAATCAGCGACGCGCCATGCCAGCGAGCACCAAGCCGCCCCATCATAACCCAGTGAGGGCTCTGCCTGCTATTTATGCCGCACACTCAAGACACCAATTGTGAAGAATTTTCCCCGCAAAGTGTCATATGTAAGTGAATGTGTTTGGAGCAGAAACAGCCGCGGCGGAGGTTGAGCAGCGCAGAGGGAGAGACGCCGTTTCTCAGCCGCTGCACAAATTGTCTTCCGGGCATGAGGGGGGACATGATGGAGGGATCTGAGCAGGTAGATGTAACAGTGGCATCTTCAGGACCGGTCTGGGGGGGCTGGGGGCGCGGATTGCATGGCCCCCAGCTCCTATAGATTTCCCATGTAAAGTTGCTTTGTGCAAGAAAAACAGGGCTCCGGCATGTGTGTTCTGGACATGTTTGTGTGTTCACTTTATGGCAAATAAAGCAGATGTGCGTTACCATTGTAGTGTCCAATACTGGTTGAATATATACAGATAATAAGACGTGGACTGAGTTCTTCTTTCTACCCCCAGCGACGTGGGGTATTTTTTCTCTTTTTTTGTAAGTGTATTTACCTAACGAGTGTTTCCCCCGCGTGTCATGTTAGCACTTTAAACTCTTTGCTATTCGAAAGAGGAAGCGTTGAAGTGAAAGACAGAAAGGTTCTAAAGTTGACAGCTCCCGCAGCAAAGAACGTGTTGGGCTCGCGGCCCAGACACCTCCGCCAATTCATTAGGAGGCGGTCCAGGCCACTTCAAGCACACCTTAGGTTTTCGACACCATTAACCATTAATTCGTCTGCAGCCGGATTATTACGGTTACACGTCATCAACGAGATTAAGGAAATTATTTTTACAGGTTTTGAAATGTAGATACGTTGGGCTTTTAAAAAATGTATTAGTAAAAATCTTGGTCAGGAATATTTTTTTTCTTCTTTGGATTGAAGATTTTTTATTTACCAGAAAACGATCATTTATGCGTTGAATGTTTATTTACAGTTTAAATACACGTCAAAATTAAAATGCACTCGGGAATCGCTTCAGTAAAAAAACAAATAGTAGTTAGTTTTCTAATAGAGAAATGATCTGCACAACTTGCACTATTTTAAAAAAGGGGGGAAAAAACACAAGCCTCATGGACACCTTTTTATTTTATACCAAAAAGCCTGACGGCATCATTTTGCATATGGGCTACTTCTCATGCAAAACGTCGGCCCGTCCCCGTGCAGCTGCCCCTCGGCGTCTGGGGAGCTCCCCTTCAACAGACATGTGTTACTGGATGGAGAAGGAGATAAGGCTCTGGAACACACACTTCGTCTGTACCTTTTGTGATTATCATTCTGTCATTCCCTCATTTTTGTTTTTCCAGTCCTCTCCTCTTTTTCTTATTTACATATATTTGTCGTTACATTTTGTTGTTGTTGTTTATGGTCTGTTCTATCGGCGGAGAGATGCACCAGCTCAGCATCTGCTTGTCTTCCATCCCAGAGACAGTGAGGGTCAGTGAGCACAGTGACACCGCGGCGGGACAGGGTTCTACATGGAAGAACAACCACCAATGACAACACGTCGTTCCGCTTTATAGGACTGAAGTATTTGCACTTTTTTTTTTTTAAATCCCATTTTCTCTCCGGAGAAGACCTGAGAACTAACCCGTGCCGTGTCAGGGGCCGTGCCCCACCACCACACTCTCCACCAAGCCAAACACACCAACTTGTAAATGCATCATGTAAAACGACAAAAGTTGTTGTTATTTCCATGTGCATAAGATGCCTCGATATTCTGTCCATGGGGATAAGCTGTGCCTGATTTAGAATAAACCAGAAGGAGGCAGTGAGAGAGAGAGAGAGGGAGAGAGAGAGAGAGAGAGAGAGAAAGCCTGGCTCACAGTGGAAGATTAATCCACCAACAGAGGGAAATCAAAATACAGGCTATAAGCTTAAAATACCCCCAGTCCCCTCTAGGCAGAGACACTATTAAATGCAAAAAAATGGTTTTAACCTTACCACTGTAATCCCTCACAAGCGATAGATTTTTATTCTGACTCATTTTTTCATTCTAGTGGGAAAAAAAAGAATAGTTGAAATCTTTAAATTATGGCGAGACGTCTGTGGAAAACAAAAAAACTTAAATTTTGCATTTTATCAATCTGAGGAACGGTACACAGGCCTGTGTCACCACAGGTCCGTTAGGAAAATATAAAAAAAATAGTTGCTAATAATAATCAATAAAATCGAAACATTCCTACTAATCGGTTATTATCGCTCCTGAGACGGTTTATTTTTAACGCGTCGGTTTTTATTTTATTTTATTCTCTGAAGTCTAATTTGGAGTTCACCAGGCAGTGGTTTTATTGGAGCAGGGATGTTCCTGTGCATCAGATCAGGGCCATGCTGCTGCTACTGTACAGCAGCCCAGGAGATTTGGCAGTTTATGAAGTGCAGACAAGTGAACTGGTACACTGCGAGATAATTAATCTGAGATAATGAATGAGGCAGCGAGGATGCATGCAATCATTAATTCCAATCATGACACGTTTATTTGTCTCCCCTTCTCTTTTTTCCCCCTTCTCCTCCAGGCTCAGGTCTGGTGACAGTGTCGCCATGAAGCAGAGGTCGAAGGGCACGGTTTAGAGGAGGGACAAGGGTGGACTAGGGGGCCGGGAGGGGGCGGGGGGGTGGTGGTGGGGGAAGAGACTCAAATGGAACAGGTGATGAGACGGAGGCATTTGACTGGCAGTGGGGGCGTTGGAATAAATATGGAATAAAAGCCTGTGACTTCTAATGTAGTCAGGATCCTGCAGTGGAGCTTTGATCAGTGCCGGTGTGGCTGCTGGGATTAGAGGGGGAATCGGTCCACTGACCTGTGCTGCTGTGCGCCGCCCGTCAGCATGATAATTATTTACTTGTGTATTACCGTCTGCAACGTGCACATCTTTAACGACGAGGCACTGGGATCGGAGTTCAAGGCAGAAATATCGCGTTTTTATTTTCCTGATGTTAAAATAACATGAATAATTATGACAATAATAATAATTTTTAAATTCCATTTTTTGTCTGGAACACGAGGCTGATGTAAACGAAAAACGTTGTTCTAATATTTTTTAGTTGATGAAAAATCTCTATATTAAACATACTACGTTATTAAACTTTTTTTTTCAATTTTTTTTCTTTGAAATATGTGGCACCTTTACTCCAGAGTATACGGTCGTACTCACGTAGGAATGGAAATAGTGCGTATCCTCCTCCATCCATCCATCCATCCATCCATCCATCCATCCATCCATCCATCCATCCAGCCGTGTGGCACCAGCACCTGTGTAAATTCAGAATTTTAAAGACGTCACTTAACCACATGACGAAAGCGGAAGCTCACGCAGATGCACGCACGAAACTTCAGCCATCGACTATAGTCGCAGCTTTGCGTGTGGTTCAGAGGCCAAACATATGCCGATGGGAACTCGACGTGGATTATTGAACCCACATCAACTCTACGCAAACATTTTCCAGACTTTTCAACTGCGGCCCGGTCTAGGCTGAGAGAAATCCAATGGGATTTATAGATCATCTCCCTACAGCTGTCCCTTCTCAGTCAGTCACCCCCACCCACCGACCCAAACACCCCCTCCACCCCCACCCCCCACACACACTCAATGACAATAATCTACAACAGTGCGTTT